CCTGAGAGGTCTCCATTTTGCATCTATCATGTGCCTTCTGCTTTTTCATTTCATGCTCTTGTCTGGCAAGTTCCCTCATTTTTAAAATATTGCACTTTCAAAAGTTTAATGCTACGGTGCTAGTTTTGATATGATCCTTCCCCTCAGGACACATACATTATTTATATAGTGTTTTCCTTTTGAAACGATTTCCTTGCTTTGCTTGAAAGCAAAGGAAAAAAAAAAAAGCCTCTCTGCAAGGCTGGACAGAAAGTTTCTCTTTTTTCAGTTTTTTAAGATTTAAGGTATCAATGCATATCCTGACTTATCCTTGTCTCACATGCAAAAAAGTGACAAGATTGAAAGGCAGATACCTGAAGTCACTTGTGAGACTCAGGGCCACAGACTTCCCTTGTAGAAAAGCTGTGCACGTTTGCATTACCTCCCCTCGGCTGAGGGTAATGGAATCACAGGCACCTCCCAGGGCTCTTTAAGGTTAGCTTAAACCAAACTAAACAAAACCCCCTCCCATAAAACAGTCAATCTCCTTCTCCCAATATGGTGAAGATGCTTTAAAATAACCTGTCCCATACTTCACCAAAATGGAGTAGGAATGCTTATTCAGTTGTCTGACCCTAGCTGAGGAAAAAAGAGGGAAAAGCAAACAACTAAGGGGTAGTGAGCACCTGGCTACGTTCTTCAGGGCCTTTCCTTATTCCCCCTATCATGTAATTAATAGTCTCTCCCTAATCAGGAGGCTGATTATAACCCTCTTCACATTACACATGAACATTAATCTATGATCTCACTTCACTGTCCCTCTTCATAAGCAAGAGAAGCAGGAAGATCCTGTGATTGACCTGCTTGCCCTGGCATCTAACTTTTCTGTTATGCTTAATCTTTCTTTTCCTCATTTTCTGTCATACCATCACGCTTCAGTGCGCGTTTACAATGTCAAACTTCTTTCCCACTGCTAGAAGAGCTGGCTCACCCATTTCTGCCTTATGTCTATAGCAGCACAAGGAACATTTATAGATATTATTTTTGGCCATATGCTCCTCTTCCTCATTCCCCGTTCTGAGCGCTCAGGCTAATATCCTGTTGCTTTCTTGGAACATATCTGTATGATCTCACAGCCTATCCGTCCACCAATTGCTGAGGAAGATATGTACATGATCCAAAGACACCAATTGGCCAAAGTTTGACTGATGCTTGTGGTATTGCTCTGAGGTAAATTTAATCCCTACTTCCCTACCAGCAAAAACAGAAAAGCCTGAATACATCTTGCTGAATTACACCACCCCTTCCCGTTGCTTTCTGTAGAAGAAGTACGTAAGATACTCCCCTCTCTCAAGAAGAAAACAACATATTCCAACTGAATATATGTTTAGATAAAGAGAGAGGAGGATTCAAGCACAACCCTTGCTGCCTGCTTGGACAAGACACCTCTCTCAGTTACCTACTTGTTTTGTCCAGCTTCGTCTTCAGTATTCTCAGCACCCCTGGAAACCCCACTACGAAAGCAGAACCATGTCCCGAGATGCTACCCCCAGATTCCTGGGAACAAGGGCCAAAACTTGTGGTTATGCATGTACTATAATTTGTCTCCAAAACAGACTAATAAAATTCCGTGCTGTGTCTATTTTAGGATTTTTCTAAGGTGCCTATTACTGTGGAATTTAAATGCAATATAACAATTATAGATAACACTGTGTGCCTTAGAAGGCAGTCTACTCAGCCTCCCTTGTTCATTGTGCGTCTGTGTGGAAACTTTCCTTCTGCTTCCCTTCTTGCCTTTCATTTCCTCGCCTCCAGTTGTGAGTTGGTCCTGGCAAAGTGCCGTTACTGGAAGAACGCTTCATCAACATGGTGGGTAGCACATGTAGATCTGAATATGGGTCAGGGCTGGAATTAATCCAGCTCTCTATTAAGATTTTTCTCTAGCAGGGGACAAGACATCAAAAATGTTGGCAATGTTGTATTCTGGGTTGTATTCTGGGTCAATCAGTTTGACATGTTATAATTACCATAAAATTACACAGTATTTATATTATACAGTTATTATTCATTAACCTAAAGATACACACAATAAGGAAGGCCCATATGGACACACACAAACCACTCATGGAAATTACATCTCTAAATAACCAGTGTCAACGGAAAATGCCTACAAGAACCTAGAAAAAAGAGGAGGCACTTCAGCTCATGGCTGTGCTGCCTAGGAGGAAACAAAGACAACACTATTAGATTTTGAGGACTGCAGCTGGACAAAACACCTCCGCAGGTTTTGCCTATCATCCTTATCAATAGAACATAAAACCTGAAAACTGAAAAGCAGCATAAAGGAAAAAAGCTTGGCTTGTGATAGCATCCTAGAATAAAAATTGGCTTATAATGAATGACAAACACCATCCTAATTTTGAGTAGCCTTTTTGATTTTGAAAAACGTGTCTTCACCTGTAGCCACAGTTCACTCACGGGAAGGGAGAGAGGTGGAGAGCTAAAGGCAGCTCTGCCTTCATGGGTTGCCTGCCAGGAAGGAGATAAGGCCAGGCAGCTCCCAAAGGATGCTAGGACAATGAAGAGAACCAAAACATCCAACTGGCATAACCAGAATGCTGCATCCTAAGCAGCTCCCAGCTGTGCTGCACCATTTCGGTGGCTTACTGTTGGCTTACATATGTGTCAGTTATTATAATCTCATACTTATTTACATACAGATTTAAAAGCAGCACTTTTTTATAATTAGAAAAGAAATCTGATATTTTTTATTTTTAATCTTGTTATCAATTTATACTTTCACCAAAGGGAATTCAAATTACATCTGACACTGTTGGACACATGACTAACATGCCCCTACCTCATTCACCTGCTTTGATTTTTATGTGATGCAAAATATTTTTAAGAATGGCCTACTCAATTGAGAAAAGTGTATGAAACCCATTGAAATTGAGGTAAAACATTATCTTTCAGATTCTTGTGCTTGTGATCTTTACATCTATCCATAAGACTATAACGAGGACAAAAGACCAGATACAGGCCACCTATTTTTGTAAGACAACTGCCTTCATCTTAAATAGGGAGCAGTTTTACCAGCAAAGACCACTGAGTCCATCATGACCTGCATGACCGGACTGCATTGACTGAGGAGACTTCAGATCTTACCTCTGTAGTAAGGCTAAAGGGGGCTGTAATCTCTTATATTGTGTCAAGTAGCTCCGGGTCTCACTTTGACCTCAGTGATGTCTAACTGAGCATTACTTGGTAATAATTACCATATTACCAAATAATTAACACTACATGTTATGTGTTTGTACAAGGGGTCTGTTTTAAGATGATATTGGCTCAGTTAATGACGGGGTTTATGTTAGGTAGGAAGCAGAAAAGAGCACAACTGCTTCAGATAGCCATTAATTCGATAGCACACAGGGACAGCGAAAAAGTACCTAATTTTCTCCAACATCCTGCCTGTGACCACCTATGGAAATCACCATGCCAAAAAGGCCCTCAACCTGCAAATAATAATTCCAAAAAGGCAAAAAAAGCAGAGAACAAGAATTTCTGCAGGGAATAATAGGGATGTCCTTTACAAAGCAGGGGACAACAACAGGTCTTTGCCAGGGAATAGCAAGCTTTGAGGTGATGCATGCTTCTGCGCAGGCTGTCAACAACAAAAACCAAAAAACCTTTCCTATCATGCTGTGTTCCCATTCTTCCTACTCATCTTCTACTTAGGACAGCCATCCGTGCCCTCAAGTCAACATGGAACACCAAGCCGTAAAAGAAAGAGCCATAAACAACAAACCTACTTCTACCTGATAAGGATTAGCATGATACACCAAGGATGCCTGGGAATAGTGTATTGCTCCACAGTAGGAGCGTTAAGGGATGAGGCTTCAGACTTTCCAGGCATGATTTCAGACCTAGCAAAGACCTGAAATACAGCAAGATCTGCTGTTGTGATCAGTGGAATCAGCTGAATCATTTACACTAAAGTGAATAGTTGCTTAGGTGTAAGCAAGGTTAGACTCCTGTCTAGTGACTGCAGATTCTGCAACAGCATATATAAAAGCTGAAAAGGCATTTCTGTCCCCCTCCGCATCAGTCTGGTACTCTGATACACACATTTGTCTAAAACAGACAAAATACTAACTATAATAAAACATTTCACTGTTATTATAAAACTCAACAGTATTAACAAGGGAAACTTTTTGCACTTCAGCTTCTTCATCCACGGGCTAATGGGACAGGTACCATTTCTACTTCACCAAGCATGTTCTACAGCTTGCAAGACCAGGCATTTTGTATGTTGCAGTCATGCAGTACTTCTGCGAAGCAGACAGAGAGTTTCTTTACATTTTTATATTTTTCTGTATGAACACAGATGATGCTTCGTTCAAAAGGTCACCTTCAGTTTGAGCCTAAAACTTAGGCTGAGTTAAAAGCATGCTTTAAACTTAATGGAAACACTTGAAAACAAAACATTACAGCATAATCTGTCATTCGTTTTGGTTTGGATGCTTCACTGCTGAAGCGCCTGCAGTTAAAAACTATAGTAAGAAAAAAGTTTAAACCGCAGGCCTGTCTGTAGAAGGTAACAGAGATCCCCTGCTAGCGCTGCCTGAGTTGGTATGCCCACTTAGTGTGGTGCAATGGCACGCAGAGATACCAGCTGGCATCCTGAAAAGCAGCACTGCAGTGTTTGCATGGTGTCACATCTCAGCTAACATCCATGCTTCTGGTGGTTCCAGGTCCAGAACTAAATCAGTCACAGACAGCTTGTGCTGCACCAAGTTGACATAACCCAAGGCAGTTTCCACATTGCATAAAATGGGAAGGCAAGCAAAGGAAAAAAAATTCTTTCTTTCTCTTTTTATGGTCTCTTTATTTAAATAAAGGCATCATTAGTACTACAACTAGGGAAATTTTGTTCTTGCAAATGCAAATGAAATAGGTTTGTTATACTATCATTTTTGATTGATGATTCAGGTGTTTTGATTGTCAGTAAACACTTGCCTTACCTTCATGTGTGATTTGAGATTGTCCTTGCGTGCACAGCGAAATGGACAGAGTGGACACTGATGACTTTTCAAACCTGTATGAATCACCATGTGCCTTTTCCAATAACTCTTCCTCTTGATAACCAAACCACAGATCGGACATTGGAAAGGTTTTCCTCCTTCTTCTTCTGAGGCTTAGCAGAAGGGAGAAGAAAAAGAGAGGATCCTTTACAGCCACTTGTCGAACACTTTCCCTTTGTAAACATACTCAAGATACCATTTTTCAATGCTAGAATTTCATCTGCAAAGAGACACATCAGTTAAACAACAACATGTACCAGAAATTTCAGTTCCTCTGCCCTGCATATCCCTTTTCGCCTTAATCTAGTTATCCTCCCCCTAAGAAAGGTCACCATAATTTATAAAGGTTAATGTCCCAAACACCCTTTGGCTCATCAGTAGAGGATGCTACTCTATCTCACCTGGTCCTAATGTTCCTTATAATTTAACTGAAGCGAGATGGATGTCTCTCATAATCATCACTTTGCAGCTTCATTTCCTATCAAAGGCTGGTTGTAGTAGGGTATGGAAAATATGCTTAACTGTTAAAAAATGATCCATTTCCATAGCTGATAGTCAGCCAGCAGGGGAGCGGGATATAAAGCATAGAACAACTGACAAATTAAGTGAAAAGCATGCTGGTATTGCGTATCAGATATATTGAACTCCAGAAGTGAACGACTTCAGAACCCCTGCTGTGGAAACCGTTTAGTTATGGCTCGAGCAGATGCTGCTGCAACTTCAGCCATCAGGGGTCTTCAGGTCATGGGTTTCCTTCTGCTAAACTAGTTGCCAAGGCTTTAAGTTTACTGCCTTCCTAAATGTTTGCACTCTGATTTACTGCCTGGTTCGTCTAAGGAAAGGATTTGGTGGCATTTATCAGGCAAATATGGTTAGTCTACTGAGCGTGGAACCATTGCTAGGTTGAAGGAAAGAGAAATTCCTCGCTGCTGACTTTACACGACTAACCATCCCTTCATCCTCTCACCATGACTTCTTCTACTTATAAAGAAAGGCCTAGTATAACTGTGGAATTGGAAGCCTTTTTCCTCACTGTAAAAGACAGACTATTTTCAAATATCCAGAGCTCAGCAATGTGCATCCTGCCATTTAGAAATTCTCTCAGAATATTTCATCTCATTATTATTAGTTATTTCCTACTGATAAGGATAGAGCAAACATCAAATTCCCTTGGTGAGGAACTAAGTGATAAAAACCTCCAGCAAGATTTGTCATATCCTAAAATACAATTCTTGCTATTAGGTGGGAAACAAAAACACCGTAATTCAACTGATTAGGTAGTCATTATGTAAGTATAAAAAAGGACACATTGTCAAAGCACGCACTTCTGCAAGTTCAGAAATTTTCCTCATGAAATACTCTATCACACTCAACATATCAAATTGTTCCCCTCTCTGCACCTCTAAAGAGTAAGCCAAACTCAATGCTATAATTGCTTGCGTTTCAGTTTTTAAATATCTTTACTTACTTACTTCACAAATGGTAGGAGACAGAGAAACCACAGAAAAAAATATTTTGGTAGCACTTTTACCTATCACTACTTTTCCTTCTATCATATCTTTTCTCCAGTCTCCGGTTATCATCACAAAGGATCCGGAAAAGAAATGTGTAACAAGCTATTACCTGTTTTCCACCTCATTAAAAATAAATCTGCAAACAAGATGGATCAATAGTAATTTAGCACATTACAAAATATGCAAGGAACTGGACTGAATGCATGTGACTTCACCAATAACAATGACAATTAATGGTACACAGGAATTATGCCAATGCTCTCCAAAGCTGAACCATGTTAGCTCTTCACTACACACCATAAACCTCAGCATAAGAAAGAAAATTGTGGCCTTCAGCCTTCCTTCATTTATATTGACGTCTATTTTATGTCACACGGTGTCAACTAGTTGGACAGAGTGACTCCAGTGAGGAGAGAATCAGCCAGTGCTTCCCAAAGAAGGTTCAGGAACAAAATTGCAAGCATCGCAGGCAAAAAATTACACCAAACAAGCATCCAGTCAGCAAAAGAAGGGTCTGCCACCCATACTCTTTCAAAAACAACATCAGAACTTTAACAGAGATTCCAGGCTTCCTTTTAAATTTCATCCCAAACATGTGAGCATTTTATAAAACTGGCAATATTAACAGACTGATAGAAAAGCTAGTCTTCTCTGTAGGGCTTTACTATAACCTATGCAAATAATGATTAGGTCCACCAAACCTGACATGCGGTTTCAGAGGTGACTACACTCTGGCAAACCATGGCTCCAGCTTCTTGCCCGAAATAATTCTGAGCAAATAGCTCAACGTGGTGGACAAAAGAGCAGCAGGTATACTCTTGTTATTAACTTATTCCTCTATAAATAGCCTCCATCTTTGCTGTTCCTTACTTGTCTTACATCTAATTAATCTCACCGAGTATTGATCTCATAACCAAAGCTAGATGTTGCTGGTGGGTAAGTAAATCAGATTCATAACAACAAGGCAAACTCACCAATGCCTTAAAAGTTCAAAGTATGAAAGGGAAAAAAAACACCTCTCAAGCTACGCCTACTGGGAAAAGATGTCTCTCTCTGGGAAAAAGACAAAAAAACCCCACCCCATGTCTCAAGGAGCAATCAGACAGACACAGAAAGATAAAACATTACAACATGAAATACTATTTTTTGCTTTTAGTGCCATAAGGTCGTAGGTGCAAAAGGAATCAGGAATGTGCAACATTTATTTTCTTTGCAAATATACACCCTCAGCTGCTCTACTCAACTTTTACAGAAGTGAAGTCTTCAATCAAAGGTCACTAAACAGTGACCTCTTTTTGCAAGCTGCATTTCTCCATGGCTGAAAGAATCAAGGAGTCTGGCTTTCCATAATCAACACCCAGATACGCTAACCAACAGCTTGCTTTTTATTTTCAGTCGGTTAATTATTTAGAAAGGAAAAATTTAATAGCATACCAGAAAATGGACTTAAAGAACTTCTGTTATGAACATTACACTATGAAGTTTGCTTGGATGCCAACTGGCATTGGCCCAGTGCGTATGAACTGAAAGGAAACACCCTTCCTCTTGGGATGCTAGTCCCATATATTATGTAAAAAAAAAAAGAATAGTTGTTCCTTGGTTACCAAGGACCTGAGGCAGTCAGCCCCCATTGTTATCTTCTAGCAGCACAGTATGCTTGGGCCTTCAGCAAAGAGAATAGTTGCTAGGACTTCGCTGCATCACAGCTGGTTTACAAAGTGCCAGTACTACCAGCACACTGGCGTGCTGGTACAGAGCACGCCCCCGGTATAAGCTGCGCAGACAAATCCCACAGCTTGTTTGTCAAACACAGAACCTGGATTTTACCACAACCATTTACTTCTCCCCAGTAAAAACTTATGATGTGAACAGCTTTTTCTCCAGCAGGAAATAAACTAACAACTTCAAATAATTTTAACCTTGCTCCTTTTCTATACATTGCTGCCTTTCTTATACAAAGGCCAGTCTTGATGGGGAAAGTTACATTAACTTAATGCCCGCAGACACACTGGTGTAGCCAGTGTGGGTACTCTATTCCCACACGAAAGGGCCTTTTCTTGGTTTAGCTTACATTACTCCAAAAAGGACTTCATCTAAACTAATGAAAACCTTAGGCCAGACCCATGACAGGAATAGTTTGCCACTTTAATTGCCTTGGCAAAACACAGCAGCAAAGCATTTGTAGAACACATGTAACTCCGAGCAAAAATCTGGTACAGGCTGCACCTCATCGCCTCCTTCCTCCTCCTCGGGAGGAAGAAGCACTGCTGTCCATCCAATCGCTTTTGCCCTATGAGTTTTTACCAAGAGCCACACAGGGACAGATCAGAGCTCACAATATTCCTAAACAAAAAGGTTAGGTCAGAAAGATAGCAGTGCAATTATACAACGTCCACGTCAGGCTTCATGTCTGTACACTGGCTTGCTAAACCTGTACAGTCAAGCTAGCATTCCTGATAAAACTCAGCCTGATCAAGCTCTAATATTATACTGAACCACTCTGTGCATCTTGTGAAGACAGCTGACATGCTTCCTTCCCCTCTGCAGCAGAACACCACTCCAGGGAGAACACTGATGACACCTGAAGCTGTATGTTCTACCAGAAATATGAATCCATGACGTGTACTTTTTATAGAAAGAGATGAAAGAAACCTTATTTTTCCTTATTTCAAAGATGGATCATTTAAATTTCCCTGCATGGCTTGCCAGTTCTTGAAAGCTTTTGTTACCAAGACTGTTTCTTCTTATTCCCTCTAAGCCCGATTCCTTGACTGCTGACAGCTGGAACTGACGGAGGGAAATCAGAAGTGTAAAATGGTTCTTGTTGAGCAAATTAGAGAAATGCAGTTTGCTTTTTTTTTTAAAAAATGACAAAGGATTGTAAAATACCGAACTGCTGCAAAAAATTTTAATGAAAAGTGGCAACATAATAACATATTCTGGTAAATTAGGACAGGGTAGTAAGCGATTATACAAAAGTCCATTTGTGACAGAGACAGCAGGAGGGAGAATTCTCCCTTGTCCAATATTTCAAAAGCACTAGTTTTGTACATGCTCACTGATACCGTGAGCTCCCTAACAGGGATTCTTTGATCTTCTCCATTAAATATTTTTTGTGGACTTATTCTGAACTTGGCAAGAGAGGGAAATACCACTGTATGGAATAATAAAAAAGTACTGAACTGTACACTCGTATCTTTCAAATACAGAAACATTTGTGACAGTTTGGTCTTCATGTGGTATTTTAAAAAGCTTTTCCATTGTTTACCTAAAGTACCAATTCCTTATTCTCATAACACACGGAATCAAACCAAATCCAGACCCATTGAAGAGATGTTATAAAAGCCTATAGTAAAACAAATACATTCTACTTAGTGCCTCAAACGGTATCCGTACCTGTACTAGTGGGTTTGGATGCTCTTCCCTTAGGGACTGGCAGCAATAGTAATTCCAAAGACTGCGGCGGAGTTGCTTTCTCTTGCTTCATCTCTGAAAGCTGCAGGGGATCCTCAGCAACCAGTGATTTCTTCTTCTCAGCCAACAGGGTGCCTGCAGCCCTTGCAGCAACCTCCTTGAGAAGGGCAGCTGAAGAGGTCATGGAAGCCAGAGAAAGGAAAGAACTAGCCGGAGGCGGATGCTCCTGCCCAGGAGTCATGCTTCTTTCACTCACTTTCTTAGATAAAGCTGCTAACGTGGAGCTGGCTGACTGAGAACTAAAAGGTGAGGAAAAAGATTCGAATCTGATGGTGTCTTCAGTCCTTGAAAGAGATTTGTCCTGCAGAACAGCATTGGCTGCGGCTTTCAGTTTCAGGATAGCTGAATCAGGGGACAAACCACAGGTGGTGGTTGAGTTTGGCAACCACTTACCTTGATTCCATATAAAGTGACTACTTGCATTGTATTGGTCACTTTGTTCCTGTTTCTCAGCAAGCTTTCTTGCAAGAACACTTAGCTGCTGGGCATGATGAGCAGGTGGAGAGAAGGAGAGATTTGAGCCAAGATTCACAGGGGACTCGACTCTGCCGTTGACTGTAACAGCAGCATCCAGCTTGAGGGAGCCAGCCTCCAGTAGCCGCCTCAGGTTACTACTCAGTGGCTTATTTGGACCAGGAGGTTCTTCTTCACACAGAGATGACACATCAGGAGAAAGGTGCTCCTTGCTCTGTAATGTGTCTCTTAGTGCCTCATTTTCAATGGATCCCAGCTCCGCTGTGTTGCTGCTAGGAGTTGCACTTCCCAAAGAAGTATCTGGGGAAGTGGACTGCTCTTGGATTCTGTCCTCAAGAGACAACTTAAAGTTCTCCTGGACTTCTCCATACGATGCTTCTGAAGGAGTTTCTGAAGAATTTCCAAACCAGCGTTCTTCTTCACTGAGTTCACCTTCCACTTCTTCCTGCCTGGTACCATCTGTGAGGAGCCAAGATCAACAGTATTATTCACAAATCTGCGTAAGATAACTTCTTAGCATGAAATATGTCTGGCCTCTGCATGACCCTCCTGAACAGGCACCCAACATCCCCTTAAAGTGCATGGACTTGTCAGCAGCCTGGATGGAGCGACCAGAAAAAGTTTTTTGAAAGTAAGTCAGTCTTTCTTTTAAGATAAAATCATGACGAGCCTGTCATCTTTCAGTCATCATAACTAAAAGAGTTAAAACTGCAACAATACAAATATACATAATATATACTTGTATATTGCAAATATTTCATTATCGGTATAGTCTGTACGTCCTGCAAAATATTATGAACTCTGTGGTATAAAGCAGGGATTTAACAGGCCCAGAAATTACTGGATACTTGTGTCTTTGTACAGCTAGCACAGGCACGCCTTCAAAAGTAGATCAGGTGTGTAGCTACTCAAAGTAGTTTCTTCCAGTGACTTTATATCCCAATCCTGTGGTGACCCCTATCTAAAATAAAATTAAATTTGTACCAATAATATACAATTCATTCCTGAATAGCTGAAATGACTAACACATGAATGCAGACTAAAGCGCTCATCTCTCCAACTATTTGGGAAAGGAATATCATACACACAAAACTAATATTTGGGGTTTTTTCTTCTTATACAGACACTACTTGCTTGTCATTTGCTCGTCATTGTTCATTAATGATAAAGTTTTAAAGACCATCCTAAACTGAACTTTTAGCTGAAAAAGAAAAAAAGAAAAAAAAAAGTGTTGGTCTCAATGTAGTTAGTTATGTTTCCTCCTCTCCAGTAACTGCAACGCATCTAGTCTCTTCTGAGACCTAAGTGACGGTGTTTAAAGCACTGTGACCCTGGCTTGCTCTTCTTCCTGATAGATATTCAAAGTCAGACAGACGTGACCAAGATTTTTTTTGCAGATCTTGCTGGCCAATCAGAACGCAGTTAAGAACAACAGCAATGCTAGAATTAAATTCATGTTATCTTCTCTTGCCAGATACCTCTCACATTTCTTGCCTTTAGACTCAGTGTCCCAAGCTACAAAAGAATCTTTGTAATCATACTACAGCAAAACAAAAGGATTTAATATAACCCCCCACTGACATTCTGGAACTAAGCCTGCATGATATGTACTGTATCTATGATCATACATTATTCCCCGATTCCCTATTTAATTCAACAAATTACAAAACTTGGAGGGAAGTTGATGAATAAAAACTTAGATTTATATTATTGCTTTGATCCAACAAATTTAAGGAGGAAAAACCCAGCCAAACGTATCATGAGTGTAGAGATACCAACACACACTGTGAAAGCAAAGATATATTTTTTTTAATGCTATACAGAGTATGAGGAATAGTCTCTCATAGTAAGCTCCTTTTACTCAAAATCCTTTGGAAAAAAAATCACCAATGTTTTAAGAGCCAACAATAAAGCCACTCAGTTTCCTTAGATTAGTAATTCAAGGAGAAGAGGGCTAGCATCTTTCCTATTCAAAAGTAACAAAAGCCAAGCAAACCCCAAAGCACTTACCTAATATTATTTTGATAAGTTAACATCACAGACACAGCAAGATTAACAATAACATGCGCATAAAGGCCAATACCATGCACATTCAAATAAAGAAGAGAGATGCTAATCAGTTGAACCAGCACTTATGCAGGTTAAAGGAGAACTGAATGTATTCCCTTTTCACCCTGTGAACATTAAAAACTAACTTGAGGCATGTCTGTACATTTGGGTGCACTCAGATGAGAGATCCGTCCACTCATCCTAGATGCAAGTAAGTTCTGGATCGGAAGGCAAAAAAGCATCTTACTGGCACTTTGCGATACACCAAGAGCCAGGCACATCCTCTGGGACACAGCCTAGAGTTGACACCACTACACAGCTTCCGAGCCAGAGCTAGCCTGCATCCCACCACTTACATCCATATGTCTGCTTACATCTGTCTGTGTTAAAACAATCCCTCCTCTCCCCCACAAACCCTACTCTCTCTGTGTCTCTGCTCCCCATCCATAAATAGGGAGGGAGAATTGCATTTCCCTTCAAAGTCATCCAAAAATTACAGTTTGAGAGACATGTAAGTGTAAATGGTTACAAGAGGAAGTGGGTTTCTGTTTTAGAGAAATCTCCAGCTTACTAAACCCCCAAACTTCTCTGTTCCTTGCCGTGTACCTCAACTTCTTAATGTTGATATGTTTCCTAGTTGCAACCAGTCTTTAAAATACCGGTCAAATAACACTGCTTTACAAATCTCTCAACCTTCTTCATCCTTCTTGCACTGGAAGTGAATTTTCCATCCTCACCTGCACCAGGTTTTGCTCTAACCACAAAAGTAACGTCCCCGCATATATTTTCACTACCTATCCCTCCTCTCTAAAGCTGACATCTCACGGAACCACTCACGGTAGCTGAGGAACAGAACACTGGTATTTCAAGTCGATAGTAAGGATGCAGAGAAAGGAACTACATCTGCTATGGCAGAGCTGCAATACAGCTTTCTTCGATAGTAACACAACTACACTATGCCTGGAACCAAAAAAATAAGGTAGTAATAGCAGGAGAGATAGGAACAGGACATGTCCTTTCTTTTTCCAGACATGCACATTCTCCATTGGTCTTGCCTATATGAAGAGCAGCCACTAACATTTTACTGACAAGGAGCAGCAGGAGTGCAGTACTCTTCATTTAAAGGCTTGCTACCAAGTCCAGAATTTCCCTCCCCTTTGGGTAACGCGGGGAGACCTCCCCCTCCTGTTGCTGATCTACCTGCAACCACTCAAGCACTCTCCAATCTGCCCCCATAACAAAGGCCAAATTACCTGTGCAGCATCTCTATTCCAAAAGCCAGCTGGATTTCTTTTTCCACCAGTGCAGTTCCCTTCTGTACCCAGAAACCAGACCTCTAACTGCTGACACAGTTCTAATTTTCCTCTCCTCAGTAATTCCCTCAGTTGCTGCAGTACCAAGTCCACTGTATTTTAAGGCTGTAAGGTTAATGCTGAAAAAGCCAGCATCAGTGTCTTTATCATGAGCTCGGTCAAGCCTCCTTTTAAACACGAGTGAATTGATTTAGAAGCGTAACGGTGAAGCCTGGCAATTTCATTTCTAAGCAAAGTTGCCATTCAAGGCCTTCAGGGCAGGATTTTAATTCACATTGACTTGTGAGCCTGAGTTTGAACAAGCTTGAGAACTCCTGGAGAAATCAGCCCAATCCACCAACCTTCCTATGATTTCATATTAAATAAAACCTCCCCTCAGAATTCAAAGGGTTCATGGGACACCCAGATCAGGTATGTCTGAAACAGGAGCCAACCTCTATGTGTCTATCAAGAAACTTCAGCTGTTTTTCAGGTCTGTGGCAGAAGATCTGCGTGACATGTTTTTCCCTATTCTTGCAACACAGCTAAGGAGTTCCAGTGAGAAGTCCTTGAAAACTAGGAACAGAAATGTAGTATCACATTTAAATTTCTTCTCTCCACCATAAACATACCATATTTTGTTATTATCGAATTACTTATGAACATTAAGCTACCGACATTTCATTTCTATTGCAGCCTGAAATGCTAAATGTGGGTAAGAAACTACATGGATCTTGCAAAGCAAGAAAAGGAAACTTCAGAGTTAGGGGCAAATTCTCACTGATTTCATTTGGAACAAGACCTGGCTGGAAATCTCACCAACTTTTACTGAGTAACTGCTCATCCGATTGCCTCTTCTCAACATGACTGAAGAGTCAAGACTTGTCAGTGCTTCTCTTTCCTGATTTCCATGGCAGTTCTGGAAGGAGAATTGCTTCCCAAACCATTTGCCACTGGCAGAGCCTAGTGGAAGTTACAGGTGTCCTGCATACTTCAAGACTACCCTGTCCCACAGCACCCAGGAGCCTGACACAAGTACTTCCCACGCCTGTCAGCAATGACAAAAGGCACCAAAGTACTGTTGGGTGACCGCTGCCACTGAGGTAGCCCAATATCAAACGATCTCTGGCAAAGCCACAAATGTGTGCAGAAGCACGGTTTGAAGAAGCGCCAGTTTCCCTCGCTCACCCACTCATCTGCTTGTTTTCAAATATGAAGTTCTGTTTCCTCTTCAAGAGATCAGTTTGACAGATAAATCTTATTGATCCCAAAATATGTTATTCCACTTTGTGAGCATCTGCCCTTTTACTTAAGAGTGGCGATTAAAATTTGACCCTGATATCAATAGAAAAGTAAATATTAACTTGCCCAAACTACTTATATCTGAAAACGACAAACAGGTTTGTTGATTTATATGCTGAGCCACCCAATTCAAATGCTGGAAACTTTAACTGTGCCCAATGTAATGTACACATGCCATTCCTGAAAGCGGCAAGCGTGAGATGATCCACCGTTCCGCTTTGTAGGACTTGGAGTGGAGAAATATGAATGTAGTAGGCTAGATCTAGAAACAGTCTGTGCAGCACATGGAAAAGGGAAGAGTCTCAGAGTTAAGGCACTGGGCGACAGACATGGGCAGTGAAAACATGATTGAAAGAACACCATTTGGATCACCAGAGATTATCTGAGAAAAGGCTACAGCTAAGGAACCCATCCCAAAGAGACTGAATTTTCATGCTAGGAGGAACAAAATTTCACTTTAATCGTTCAGTGCAATGAGTAAATTAAAGAACTTCAATACAGACTTAACATTGTAAATCCATATGCTACAGTGACATGAAACATATGGAAATTGTAATTATGGGATTACAAAATGAAAATGAAAACAAATACAAAAGTAGGTAGAAGTCAAATAATTTCAAAGAAATGCACACAGGAAAATTGCCAATGAGATAAATTAGGTAAGATTGCCCTAACTTCAGCAGTTACATTTCACGAAAAATCTGGGAATCTACAGGACCAGGATTTAAAGGGACAGGAGAGCCAAACCTAATTTTTATCATCTTGATATCAAATATCTTGGTCTGTATAAGGATTTCAGATATGATCATTCAAGTTTGTGTCAATCTAAATAAAGCTACAATTGCGTTTGTTGGCTATTTGGCACCCAAGTCATCTTCCTAATTTGTTGCCCCAACAGCTTACCTTATTCCATCTTCAATGCCTATCATAAACTATTCTCTGCATTATCTTATAC